TACACTTGCATGAATTTCCATGCCTGTCAGCAATTAGATTGATATTTTCAGTGTTTGTTTATGCTACTCACTGTGTTAAGTAGGTATTTCCTTTTTAACTTAATACTTTTTTATCATCCTGAGTAGGGAACTGCACTTGTAACTCAAAGGGGGTGACTCTGACCATGTGGATCAATCAGCTGACCTGCAAGAGAAAGATGGACATTCTTCTCCTGTGTGATTCACAGCCTCCAAAACATACTGGAGGGTCCAGCCATGAGTCTGTTCTCACTCAGTGACACTAAATCTGAGTATGAGAGAAGGAGGGGAAATGTGATTATTTCCATTGACGTAGAAAGCTGTGCTGCAATCCTGAAGGCACGCGGTTTGAGGCCACTAAGCCGCTCCATGGGAGAAGGATGAGCAGTCTCTTCCCGTGCGATTAACTGCCCCTGAAAACCCTCCGGAGGTCAGCTATGGCTTGGTTCCACCTCTGTGGTACACAACAACAACTATCAAGTTGACTGCTACTCATAGCAATCAACCATATGAACGATGGTTCTGAACCCTGTCATATCCTGACTTGACTTACTGCTTCTGACCACATTGCCACCATCACTGTGTTGAGCTATCTAATGCTGGCACTCTTGTCGTATGCTAACATTCTACTTTTCCAGGTATGATATCCTTCTCCAAGGACTGGTCCTCCCAACATGCCCAAAGTATGTGAAAAAGAGCTTCAAAATCCTTGCCTCCAAGGAGAAACGAGGTTTCACCCTCTCCAGCACTGACCTGTTCGTTCTCTTGGCAGTTTATGGTATATCCACAACTGTTCTCCAACACTACAATTCAGACACGTCACCTCTTCTTTAATCATCCTTAGTCATTGGATGATGACAACAACAACAACAAAATTCAACCTTAATTATCAATATTAAAAAATAATTTATTTCTTAACAGGGTGGATAATATAAACAAATATAAAAAATACCAGTCTAATTCCTGATGGGTATGAGGAAAGTGTTGGTCTACATTTCTAGATATTTGTTCCCAGAAGGTATGGGAAAGAATGCACCTAGGAGCAATATTATTAACAGCCCCACACTGGAAACCACCCTGGTATCCTCAGTATTAGAAAGATCAAATGCTGAGTCCATACCTTTGGGCATGTTGTCATGAGCAGCCAATCACGGGACAAAGACACAACACATGGAAAAAGAGAGAGAAGGAAGAGGGAGGGGCGTTCATTGTCCCACAGTGACTGCACCAATGGGCTGGTGTGTGGCACATGCTGGCAGGAGGGTGCAGGACCAGGCGGGGACTCAGTCTGCTGTACGTAGGGTTGCTGTGACTCAGAGTTGCCCGATCAGCACTTAACAACATCTTGTCCATCAGTTACAGAATTGAGATAAAAACTGTAATGACTTCTAGGAAGACTAAGACAACCTGGGAAGAAGGACTTCTCAATCTACTTCTGAAAATTAACTGGTTAAAACATCACACGATAGTAAAAAAAAAAAAACCCAATATGGCATAATGCCACTGTTATAAAAGAGGACTGACATAGGGGTTGGGGGAGAGGGAGAAAGATGGGATAAATAATGTATACTTCGTTGGAACATATGAGGGAGAGAACTGTTTAAAAGGGATAAATTATTAGATATTGTTATGACAGGAGTTCAGAATAAAGAGTCAGAATCGACTCGGAGCTGACCCTCTAGTGTGTCCACTTAGTGCATTTACAATAATGAAAATGGCCATCACTGTCTAGACCCAAAATATTTTCATTACCCTGAAAGGAAATCTCATACCGTTCTTCCTGATTTTTCTTCTGTCCCTGTCATCTTCCTAGATTTCTGTCATAAATGGAATTGTACAGTGTGTGACCTATGTGTCCAGCTTCTTCACTTAGCGTATTTTTGAGGCTCATCTGTCCACACTGTACCGTGTGTGTATGCAGGACCTTTGGTTTCTCTATTCCCCTGTTGATGGAGACATGGACAGTTCCCGCCCTTTAGCTATTGTGAATAGTGCTGCTAGGAACATGCATGCACATGTGTTTAAGCAGCTGTTTTCAATCCTTTTGTAAGTATGCCTATAAGTTGAATTGCTAGAGCTTATGTATGCAGTTCTGGTGGCCTGCTGAGGGGAAGCTGGACGGCCAACCCGAAGGTACACAGTTTGAACCCACCAGCTGTTCAGTAGAGAAAGATGGGCAGTCTCTTCCCATGCAATTTATAGCCTCTGAAAACCTGCTGGAGGGTTGACTGTGAGTTGATTCCAACTTGATGGTATATAACAACATCGTGTTAATTGGAAAGCTCTGGTGGTCTAATGAGTACGAGTTATACTGCCACAAAAAACAAGTGGTTCCAATCGAGCAGCTTTTCTAAAAGACAAAGATATGCAACCTCCTCCCATCAAGTTTGCAGCTTCTGGAAAACCCACTGAAGGATCAACTATAAGTTCCAGTACTATGGAATTATGTTTTCTGTGCTTTGATGTTAATCGTGGCTTTAAATATTTGAGGACCCACTAAACTATTTTCTATATCACCTGAACCATGTTACAAAGCAGAATGTAGAAGGCCCTAATTTCTCCAAGTCTTCACGGGTACTTGATATTTTCTTT